CCAACTGGCGCAACGAAACTGCCTGGACCCCAAATATGAATTTGACAGCTTAGGGCCTCTGGCGATTTGTTAGGCCCGCCTTCACTTAGGGCGGGCACATTTGTTGCAGGGGGCCCCTTATGCCTGCCGAGGACCCATAACCTTGCATTCCCTCCTCCTGTACTTCGATAGTCCTCTGAGAAGTTTTCTATTCTGCAGGCATCTTCCCTTTAAGATCTCTTTCATAGCCTGCAATGACTTGAGGTGCAGTTCTCATGAGTTCTTCTCTGGTGAACCACCGATCTTCGCTGGGGTCCAGATGATGTTTGAATCTGACCCGGTACTGCATTTTTGGCTTAGGAGGGCGGCCTCTGCCCGGTGGTCGAGGAACTGGCATCAGACGATGCTCCAGAATCTGGTCTATGTCCACTTCGCCATCCATGGTTGGGGGCAGCATTGATCTCCTGGAGGGAAACTGATCTGTGGCAGCGGCAGGTGCCAGCTTGGATGCATGGAAAACAGGGTAAGTACGCAAGTGTGGAGGAATGCTAATCACGTATGAAGGCCCATCTGGTTGATCCCCTACAATGTCTAAGATCTCCCAGGGCCCAAAGTACTGTGGCATCAGTTTTCGTGAAATCCCCATCTCCTGACCCAGTTCATATGACTTCACCCAGACTCTATCACCTACCTGAAAGTTAGAGGGCCGTCTATGTTTATTCTCATATGCGATCATAGCATCCTGAGACTTCCTTATATGTTCAACGGCCTGCTGCAGCATCTGTTCATACTTGACAGCAAACTCTATGCTGCCAGGTGCTGCAGTGGGTTGCCTTTCTGGTAGCAGAAAGTCAAGTGCACTTCTGGGCTTCCAACCAAGATGCAGCTGGTTGGGAGTCATACCAGTAGTACTGTGCACAAAATTGTTGTACATGCTGGCGACGAGAGGTCATCCTGACTTGGCTTAATATAATGCCGAAGCAGGTGCTGTACTACCCGGTTCAGCTGTTCTGCCTGGCCATTTGACTCAGGGTGATTCCCTTACGTCATTTGGAGCTCGGTACCCATCTGTTCAGCTGTCGTTTGCCACAGTTCGCTGGTAAACCTTACATCCCTGTCACTTACTATCGACGTAGGTAGTCCAAAACCCCTGATCCAGTTATCCAGAAACAGTTTGATGACATAGTCAGTTTTAGCAGTTTCTGGCATAGCGATAAGTCTTGCATACTTAGAAAAGCGGTCCACTATCACGAAGATGTGCCTTTTTCCAAACCTGCTTGTCACAAGGGTATCCATGAAATCCATGGACACACTCTGACCAGGACCTTCAGGAATCGGCAAGGGCTTGATGAAGCCAAGCGGAGCCTGAGTCTTGGGTTTGTCCCTTTGGCAAACCTGGCAGGTTTCAACGTACCTTTTTGCATCTTGCATCATAGTGGGCCACCAAAACTTCTGCACTAGATTAGCTGAAGTCTTTTTATAACCCAAATGACCAGTTGCATCATGACATTCCCCTAAAAATAAACTACGCAAAGACTCACTACTGGGAACACACAATCTTTTATTCTCTGCCTTCTCAAGAAACAGCAAGCCGTCTACCATCATAAATTCATCCAAAGTTTTTTTGTCCTTTGCTTGGAATCTACGGATGATCTCAGACATAACTGGATCTTGCTAATAGGCTTCCACCAATTATCGAGTTAAGTCGTTGGATATACCATATTCAGTCACTAGTGCGCCCAGATAATCTGCTCGACGAGATAGTGCATCAACTACTTTGTTGTACTCACCCTTGATTAGATCAAGTTGATAGTCATAATCTGCTCGACGAGATAGTGCATCAACTACTTTGTTGTACTCACCCTTGATTAGATCAAGTTGATAGTCATACATGTCTATCACTTGTATCCATCGTTTGAGTGCGTCGAAGAGTATGGGCTGTGTCTTAATCCAGCGCAAGGACTAATGGTCAGATCTCACATAGAAGAATCTGCCAAGGAGATAGTGTCTCCAATGTACCAGCGCTCTATACAGGGCATAGAGCTCACACTCATAAGTGGACTTGGCTAGTTTTTGAGATGACATCTTCTTACTCATGTACTCGATAGGTCTCACCTTGGGCCCCTCCTTTTGTGCAAGGACCGCGCCTATGCCATATTGGTTGGCGTCTGTGGTCACGACAAAGGGTTTATCAGGATCAAGAAGTTTGAGAACCTCATAGTGTGCCAGAGCATTTCCTGAAGGCTGTCTCACACTCTTCAGTCCACTCCCAAGGGGTGTCAAGTCGAGTTAGATCTATTAATGGGGAAGCTATAGTACTATAGTTTTTAACAAACGGACGATAGTAGCCCGTCATCCCCAATTGACCTCAGTAATAGTCCGAGGTCTAGCCAGTCGCGTTTGCTGGCCATCTTGGCATCATCCGGCCTCAATCCATGTGCTGAGATTTCATGACCCAAGTACAAGATCTTGGTGCGACCGAATTCGCATTTCTCCAAGTTAACCTTGTACTGGTGCTGTCTAAGGAGATCTAGCACTATTTTCAAGTGCTCCGCGTGCTCCTCTACGGTCCTACTAAAGATAAGGATATCGTCGAGGTACACGACGATAAACTTGTCTAAGAAGTCATGAAATATCCTGTTCATCGCGTGCTGGAATGTACCAGGTGCATTGCATAGGCCAAAGGGCATCACCACAAACTCGTACATACCATACCTGGTCTGAAATGCGGTTTTGTGCTGGTCCTCAGGTTTGATGGCAATTTGATGGTATCCAGACTTCAAATCTATCTTGGTGAAGCACCGACATCCCTGCACTCTATCCAAGAGGTCGTCGATGCGGGGTAGGGGCTCCGCATTCTTAACGGTGATGGCATTGAGGCCCCTATAATCAATGCACATCCGCAGGGTACCTCCCTTCTTTGGGACAAATAAGACCGGCGCACTGTAAGGGGAGGTACTAGGCCGAATCCATCCCTTTTCTTTGAGCTCCTTGAGCTGTGGGCGGAGCTCATCCAACTCTGCAGGAGACATCCTATAGATTCGTCCTCTAGGCACCTTGCTACCTGGGACAACCTCTATTGCATGGGCCACCTCCCTTTCTACCACCCCTATGGCCTCCTCAAAAAGGTCGAAATATTTTGCGACGACTGATTCTATCTCTGGGGTGTTTTAACGACCTCCCCTTTCTCAAAGGCAAATACTAAATACATGCTCTCCTTGCGATTCTGCTTGTAGTAGTTATAAAAGAGGAAACACACATGCAGCCGTAGTTTTCCACTAGACTGCTAACCTTATATTTCTGCAGCCTAACGGTCCTACCGTTTGGCAACTTGTGCACCTTCCTATCCCAATCAAACTGAGGTTGCGCGACCTCGAGGTAGTACATGCCTAGTAGCATATCGAAGGGCAGTTTGTCGTTGACGAGGAATGAGATTTTATGTCTCACTTCCCCTCCTCCATAAGAGAAGGAACAGATTACGTCCTTGACATTTGGTGCTTGTTGGCTAGCGTAGAAGCTACAGTTCTGCTAAGCCGCTGCACTTGGTCCCCTAAGCGCAGTCTATCCACACAAGCAAGACTGATGAAGTTTCATGTAGAGCAGTTTGTCGCTGACGAGGAATGAGATTGCGAAGGCGCCAACTTTGCGGCCACCTACATCAACCTCTACCACGAAATGTTCACCCTTTGGACCTCTACTGATCATTGCCCAAGAGTCTCTGGGGTCCTTCCCCTACCACTCAGTCTCTAACTCTTCTAGGGCCTCAGACACATCTCTGGAACAGAGCGTCGGTGGGTCTGAATGTGTCTGCGGGGCGATACGTGGGTCACTAGCCCTGGCCAACGCCTGAAGTGGGGAAGGCAACGTTACCACTTCAGTGCGAGTAAGAGCGGCTAAAACTCCTACAGGCCCGAGGTGTTTCCCTGCGAAGTGCTCGCGGAAGCACCGCCAGGGTTGGAAGACAGTCCCACCACCGTTGGGGAGGCTACCCTCGTCAGGACTTTCTTGCCTCGACACGTTCAGGACGTGTGGCCATAGTTGCCACAGTACATGCACGTGCCCCTAGCGACTCGGTCCCTCCACACCTCATACTCTAAACCAAGTTTCACCCAAGCAGGCGTACCTTGGTCGTCCTGACCCGTAGACTGGCCTACCTTCTTCTTCCCGGTCCCCCTAGCCTTTTCCTTGATGGGTGCCGCGACTCCCCCATCCGAAGTCTCACTGGCCCCATCGTGCTCTGTCTCCTCCCCAAGGTCTGGGAAGTCGTCAATTTTTGTCGCCTGACCATCGTGGTTGACGAAGATTAGTTGACCTTTCTTCTTCCAGTCTTGGGGTAGTCTCTTCTTCCTACCATCTCCCTGACTCTGATGCGCAGATCCCAACTTTGCCTCTATGTCTAAGGCCTTCTTGCTGAAGGAGGCGAAGTTGTGTTGTTCGACATAGGCCTCATCTACCAGCTTTGTCCTAACCTCTGAAGGTAGACATCTAAGGTAATACGTAAGGAGTACCTGTTGGTCATAGCACACACCAGGTACCACGAGCAAACGTTCTACGGTATCCGTGAGCTCTCTAACATTCTTGTACCTTCTGGCACAAAGATTGTTGATCGCATTTGTGGCCTTTGGGCCCCTTGTGGGTCATGCCACCTATTATACACGGACCGTACGAACTCTTCCAATGTCTGGGCCTGGGCCCAGGCATCGAAGTTCTGACCGTAGCCCTGTTGCTGCACTAGGCCATTCAACCAGCGGGCTGCTGACCCCTCTAGAAAGGAGGCAGCTACTACAACTTCTTGCTTTGGCCTGGTAAGCTTGTGCCTCACATAGGTAGGCACCGTCCTTACTCAGGTGTCCAAGTCCTCATCCTTCTTCCTGTCGTCGGAGAAGGGCTTAGGACTCAACAAGGGTATTTCGGGCATCCACTGCATAGGCTGCATTGGCCCAGGGGCTTGCTGCAGTGGCTGCATAGCCACCGAAATAGGTTGCTGCACACTAACCTGGGCCTGGCTTGATAGTGGGACTGTAGTTACCATTGTCGTTGATGGTACGGCAGAGGACCGGACCACTAGTTGCCACAACCACCTGGAGGGGGCATGCCAAACATAGGTGAGAATGAGGGCCCAGCCGGCGATGTCGTCATCGATGGACCCGCAACCGATGGGGGAGCTACAACAAACTGAGGCTGCCTCATCACTGGACGAGGAGCCTGTAGTGCAGCCAGAATTCGTTTCTGGCCTGCCACTAGTTCAGCCAACACCTCCTGCTGAACAACCTGCATCTCCGCCACACACAGGAGCGAGTTACGCAGCGCTCGCATCGCAGGGTCAAGTGTTGACTCATCTAATGCTTCTAATCTGCTTAGCTCCTGCAATCTACTACCTAGTCTAGCTTTTCTCATGATTGCTCTTCTCCTCCTCTCTGCTGCTTCATCCAACTGTCGCTGCAACTCATCCTGAAGTTCTTCTGCTTGGAGGATCTCATAATCCTTCGGCGTGAGTTGAGCTTGCTGGATGACTTGCAAGCCAGCACTCTCGCTAATGGAAGCCTGAGAACCACTCTGACTGACTCCTGACGAAGTGGCCCGTGAAGAGGCCTGCGACATGGTAGAGGAAGTAGCCATGGTCGTACCAGTGCTAGCTGTAATCCTAGACCTGGCCTGGCCTCAGCCACCCTCGCTCTTCTTGCCGATGTTCTCTCTCTAGCCTCTCTCCGCAGTCTCCTTCCATCTCCTGGACCTAACTCTAGGAAAGTCAAAGGTCGACTGAGAGCAATTCTACGAGTAGTCCTACGGTCATCCACTAACAACTCCTCCTCACTAGTGCTTGCATCACTCGTGAGCTACGGTGTGTGTGATCTAAACTAGAATCCACACTGAATCCTACCTCAGCATGACACACAACTGATTATGATACACCACTAACTTCGGTCGGCCTGGACAGAAACAGTTAGGTGGTTAGGTGTCAACCACTGTCAGATCTTACAGGTAAGTTTTAATTCTATTTTTAGATTACTCTTACACAGATTGCAATGCAGCAAGGAAAGAACTAACCTATCTGCATCTGTCTCAAGGAAAGAACTAACCTATCTGCAGCTGTCTGTCAGCTGTTAACAAGTCTGTAACAACTAAATAATCAAAAATAAAAATAACCTACCTGTTGAGATGCATGCTGGATGGTAGATTGTCTAATAATGTCACTGCAACAGTTACCGGAATCCCCCCTCTCCCTGTGTCCTTCTTGAGTTGTCACTTTGTGTCAACGCCCTGAGCATCTGGTTGAGCAGCGTGTCTAAAGGTGTGCAATCCGGCCCACCCTTGTGCCACAAGTCAACGCCGAACCTGCCAGCCCCTGCACTTTATTTATCCTCGCATGCAATGAGCCTTACACCCGGTTTGATCTGGCTGATCAGGTGGCATTTGAGGAGATCCCCCGTAACTCCTCAGGAATTATTTAACGCCACAGACAGGACGACGATCACAGCCAGAATCAACACCGAGTCCCCGCCATAAATATTTAAAGACGGTCTGGTAAGCGTTTGTTCAAAGGGCTGGCATGCCCTGCATGACCTCTATTGTGCAGCAGCTGATCCAAGGACTTGCGGCAAAGCATGCGTGTACTAGTCCCAGCGGATTGGCATGGTGACCATGACCCGAGTGCTTCGTCCAGGGCCCTTCAGAAGCATCGCCCGTCTCCCACCAGCTTGCTGCCCAGGAAGAATGTCGACTCTCAAGGTTGAGCGCTCGCGACACCTCACATCGAGAGGACTCTCAAGACAGAACTCGCTTCCTCACGGTAAGAAGCGATGAAGAGGGTAGATAAGGACGGAAGCAACGTACCTCATAATGCTGCCCCCAACCACAGATTTCTCACCGGCAACCTGATGTGTGTTTATGATGACCGGTCTTTGCCTCGGCACAACCAACAGCAGAATGCAGTTCCACCTCGGCCTAAATGCCACATCAGCGAGCTCTCATCATCCAGCGTACTCCCCTAATGTCACCACATAGCTTCCTGGCGCGCCCACACGACCCTGGGCCGCCTATCACTCAACGCCCAAGCCTTATTACTGCCCCACACCTCATGCGAAGCACCAAACAGCTATTGCGAAGAGTCAATGAAGCGCAGTTCGAGCCAGCTCCGATACCAAATTGCAAGGAAAATGAGCAATAGCGAGATGACAATGTCCAGAATGCATAATCACATTGAAGGCCAGATAGTATCACAGTGTCCAGAAAGCAGAAATGCACCAATATAACACCAATGGAGAATCGTAGCACTGAAAACCAATGTCAATGAGAGCTTGCTCTCACCACCACCAACATATGTATCCAGTCCCT